CTAAAAGGATCTCTGGCCTTATATTGTGATAGGTCTGTTCGTCATTGACACCCCTCAAAAACTAAAACGCAAGTTGGAAATGGTGATTTCTTTTCCTATTCATTCATCATATGGTTTCTATAGATGCACACTAACGGCCTGGAGATACTGTGTAGTTGGCTGGTGTTATTTGATGTAGTAACATCAGTCAACCAATTTTAACAAACAGTTATCTAGAAGGCAATCATTTTAATTGATACACACACACACACGTTTCTTATCTGTATCTTGCCACAAAATGATAGGTTGAAGCACTTGGTGAAATTGAGGTTGCAATGAAGTTAATTGAGGATGGTACTGATATGGAGGTAAGTCATATATAATCTCTTCTGGGTTGCATAAACTTGGTGGTCTTGTTCTTTCTTAGCAATCTATTCTTAGTTGAATGAGCTTAGAGTGTGATTGAATATGGATTTGATTGGTTTTTTATTGGTATTTTTTTTTTTTTAACCATAGCTAAGTTTAAAAAAGGTGGTATGGTTAGTTGTTAGTGGGAATTTAAGTTTAAAATAAAATAATTAAAGTTGATTGATGTAAAAGTAAGAGAAAAATGATTGGAATGATAGTTAGTTAAAATTATGTTGAGTGGATGAATGGTGAATTAAAGTTGATGTGATATGATAGAATGTTTGGTTGATATTATTTAATTATATTGATAATACTGAGGATGATGTAATTGGGTTAAAGATGAGTTAAAATTTGAGTTTTGATATTTTTTTTCTTTTTTTTTTTGTTAAGTTTATATCCAATCACACCCTTAGTCAGTGTCTCTAACTCCTATACTTACGGAATCTATGATTGCCTTTGATCATACTAAACAAGCAAGCCCGTGATATCATGCATACTAAATACCTATGATCTCTGTTCATCTTTTGATAACCTAAAATATATTTAGTATTTTTTTGTTCTTGTGATAATGTGCTTCTTACATCTCTTATAGTAATAATAATGCACACCTAATACAGAGATTTAAACCTGTTGATGCAGCATTATCTGATTATTTTGTCCCTTCTTTTTTAGGACCCCCTGTATTCGCAGTATAAACGGCTTCACTGTGATCTGGTGCCACTTGAAGTTGCTTCTGAGGAATTTTCCATGGTATTAACTTTCACATTTTTATTTGACTATTTCCGATAATTTTTCCATTTTCGTGGCTCACTTGTATTTATTGGTCTGAAAATATTTATTGGCCTGAAAATATTTTCTGTCTTCAGATTCAGAAATACACGAAAAACACTCATGCAAAGACACATTCAAATTATGGTGTTGACATCATTCAGATATTTAAGGCCTCAAGAGAGGGAGAAGCTGAAAGGTTTGAGAAGGTAAATAGCGTGTTACAAATGAATAATTCTTTTCTACTTTTTATATTTCAAAATTTATTCCCACATGATTCCTTCTCTTAATCGTGACAAATTTGTCATATTTTGATCTACAGTTTTCAAGGACAAAAAACAGAATGCTTCTATGGCATGGCTCCAGACTCACCAACTGGACGGGAATTTTGTCACAAGGTTGTTGTTGTTATTATTATTATTATTATTATTGAGTTTATGAAGTAATTAAATACTAATCTTAAAAAATAACACCAGGTTTGCGCATTGCTCCTCCCGAAGCCCCGGTAACTGGTTACATGTTCGGAAAAGGAGTTTATTTCGCTGATATGTTTTCAAAAAGTGCTAATTATTGTTGTTCAACTAGAAATGCCACTTCTGGGGTGCTGCTTTTATGTGAGGTGATTTTTGCTCTCTTTCTCTCTCTCTCTCAATATGCATTCATGCTTCTTGGTCACAGCACAGAGAAAAAGTCGAATAAGAAGTCAAGAACTTGAAAATGTCTGCAAATGGGAAAAACAAAAAAGAAAAAAACTATAACTGGAAAATCAAATGTCAAAAGCTTATAAAAGAAACTATACTTAAAAACTTGAGCATCAGATTCTTCAATCTCACTACCGTTTTCCTTTCTAAAGACTTGTAATTTTAGGATGCGTGTAGTTAAGGTTTGTCGAGTTACTTCTGTACAGGTTGCTCTGGGAGACATGGCTGAGCTGCAAACAGCAAACTATCATGCTGACAAATTGCCACCTGGGAAGCTTAGGTTTGAAATTGTTTTGCTAAACGTCGTTTCTGTCGGACGTTAGGCACATTACTAAATAGTAAATACTCATTGTAAATGTTTCGACCAATCCTTTTACAGCACTAAAGGAGTGGGTGCGACTGCTCCCGATTTTTCCGAGGCTCAAGCACTCGAAGATGGCGTTATTGTTCCCTTGGGAAGACCGAAAGAGCAACCGGGACCAAAGGCATTTTATTTATTTATTTTTATTTTTTCTATGAATAAATATCATGTGCCAACAGAAGTTTTGTTTCATTGTGTTGCAGGGGGCTCTGATGTACAACGAATACATAGTTTACAACGTGGATCAGATAAGGATGCGTTATGTTGTCCATGTAAAGTTCAACTTCAAGTGATTTGTATATAGAAACCGGTCAAGTTAATTTAAGATGTATTTTGGACTTTTCGGTTGCGATTTAATATGTTTTTGTTGTAATAATCATGTTGGGGATTTTTATTTTATTTTTGTTTGCAAATTATTATTTAACAAATAAATTAATATTTTGATACTGCTATATTAAACAGCTAAATATATTTATTCTTTATTTTTTAAATGGTTTTGTTAATTGATCTAGAAAATATTGTTAACCCCGAAAGAGGCACGCTAAGCCATTGTGGTAATTTATAGTTATTTTAATTTAAATTTACATTTCTAGCAAATTGAGCATAATTTCTAGAAGTAATAAAAATAAAATGTACAATGTATGTAGACCTTCTCGTAATAATTGACAAGATTTTCCTATTCGGATTGTGTCCTGTCTTCAGCAAAAATCATCTCTTTGAAAATGCAAAAACAAAAATAATAAAAATAATGGTAAAAGAATGGAATGCTATTTGTTCCTTATTTATTTTTTATAAACTTTTAACAAAGAAAAATAATAATTATTATCAAATAATTTTTTTAATAAAAATATTACTTTATACAATAAAAAAAATGTAACTATCATTTATTTTTATATTTATCTTGCCCCATGTCAGGGATCGAGTAATAAAAAAAATGCTACAAGTACATAATAAATGTACATAGAGGTGCACATAAATGAAACTCACTTGATTTTTAATTTTTGGTAGGATCCACTTAATGTGAGTGTTATGTACACCTCTATGTGCCATGTACCTATAGCATTGCTCGGTAATAAAATACCCGTTTAGGTACTCGAATTTTATAGTTTTTTAAGGTTTTTTTTTTTGT